GTTAACATATCTGCCACCATTTGTTCTGAAGGGCAATACTTAATATCAATAATACATTGTTCACAGAGATGTCGAAGTTGGTGATGACAAACATCAATATGTTTGGTGCGAGCGCTGCACCTGTTGGACTTAATCAGCTTTATACATCCTTGGTTGTCCTCAAACATGGTAGTAGCCCCTTCGACTGACATTTTCATGTCCGCAAGCAATTGGCGCAACCATTGAAGTTCCTTGGCAGCTTGCGACGCAGCGACGTATTCCGCCTCGGTTGATGACATCGATACACACGTTTGCTTCTGACTCTTCCATGCTATAGTGCTCGATCCAAGTTGAAAGATATATCCGGATGTAGACTTCCGGTCCTTCTTATCACCGGCCCAATCAGCATCTACATAACAGCGAAGTACGCCATCGCTGACTGAAGGTAGACGAAGTTTGCAGGTTCTGGTGCCAGCAAGGTATCTCATTACACGCTTTGCAGCGTTCCAATCGGCTTGGGTTGGAGTTTCCACTCTTCTAGCAAGGAAACCGACTGCGGCGGCAACATCAGGTCGTGATACGGTAGCTAGGTATAGGAGAGATCCGATCACCTGTCTATATTGGCGATTGTTCGACAGTACCGGGCTACCTGCAGTATCTCCGCTCAAAAAACCGGTCTCCATCGGAGTTTTAGCCGGTTTTGCTTCCATAAGACCATGTAGTTGAATTAGCTGCTCGATTTGTGCTTCTTGACTCAGGAATATGTCGCCTTGTTTGTTACGCTCAATCTTGATTCCTAAGTAGTGTGCTACTTCGCCGAGATCACGAATCTCGAAATCATTACTCAAGTGCTTTCCTACTTCTTTTGTGACCATTTCATTTTCTCCTGCTACCAGCAAATCGTCGACGTAGAGAAGAACATAAGTAATTTTGGCATTCTTCTCCACACGAGTGAATAATCCTGGATCCGCCACACTACGACGAAACTTGAGCTTCGTTAGTGTATCTGTTGCTCGGCAATTCCAAGCAAGGGCAGATTGCTTTAGACCGTACAAACTCTTTTGGAGTTTACACACCTTGTCTTCTTGCCCTTTTTGGATGAATCCAGGTGGCTGCTCCATGTACATTTCTTCCTCGAGTACGCCATTGAGGTAAACGCTCTGTACATCCAGTTGTCGAACGTGCATCTTCTTCATGGCAGCAATAGCCAGTAGAACTCGAACCGTATCATATCTGACGATAGGTGCGTAGGTTTCGTCATAATCCTCACCGAATTTTTGTGAGAATCCACGTGCAACTAGTCTAGCCTTATGAGTGTACGGGCGGCCATCAGCGTCGAGCTTCGTCTTAAACACCCAACGACATGTAATGGCCTTTTTCTTAGGTGGAAGATCGACGAGATTCCAAACCCGATATTTCTTAAGCAGTTTCATCTCCTGATCCATGGCTTTTCTCCATATCTCCCTCTGGCTACGAGGCAATTGTTGGACATCCTTCCAGTCATTTGGCTCAGCATCCGCAATCGAAACCGTCCTAGCTGATCCATAACGCTCGGGTGGTTTTCCAGCCGTTGTTCTCCTGGAGCGGCGCAGTTCGCTGTGAGAGGTAGGTCTTGAGGTTGATTCAGGTGTCTCTTCCCTCAAGAGAGTTTCGTCTTCGTCGCTATCCTCTTCTATCGAAACAGCACTCTCGTAGTCATCTTCTTCGTCGTCGTCACTAATCGTAATCGGTGATGCCGCTGGAGATCTGGTCGTGTCCGGATGGTTGTCATCGTCGTCTTCATCATCCATGGCAGGGTGCCAATCTCCCTCTGATTCTGCTTTCCCAGTCGATTTTTCAGTCTGAATTGGATCTTCGATGATTTTAACAGTGTGGCTATACCAGACTTTGTTAGTATCTGGATTCAGGATACGATAACCCTTTACATCGTCTCCGTATCCAACCAGTATTCCTTCGATAGTTTTATCATCTAATTTGCGACGACGCTCTCGTGGTACAAGGCTAAAAACTCTTGATCCAAAAACTCGAAGGTGGCTGATGTCAGGCTTCTTTCCTTTAAACAATTCGAACGGAGTCTTGTCGATACAAGCTGTCGGTAGTCTGTTCTGTAGATAGGTGGCCCACAAAACAGCTTCGGCCCAAAACTTTTTGTCCATCCTTGCATCAAGTAATAGGCAACGAGCCATCTCTATGATACTTCGGTTCTTACGTTCCGCCACCCCATTTTGTTGCGGAGTGTACGGAACTGTAAGTTGATGCATGATACCGCGTTTTCTGAAAAATTCTTGAAGCTCTTTATTAGTATATTCGCGGCCGTTATCGCTACGAAAGGTTTTAATATCTCGTTCGAAGTACGTCTTCATGCAGTTAACATAATCCTTTACAGCAGCAGCGACTTCATCTTTCCGCTTCAAAAGCTTGACTACCGTATAACGAGAATAGTCGTCTATGAATGTTAGAAGGTATCTATTTCCTCCTGCAGACGTTACAGGTAGGGGACCACACAGGTCACTATGTATGAGTTCAAGCGGTTTCTTAGTAGTCGTCTCGCTGCGTGTAAATGATTTCTCAGCAAGCTTACCTTTAATGCAACATTCACATATATCGTTGCAATCATCACCTGGTTGAAACTCGAAACCAGTCACAAGCTTCTTGCGAGCAAGCTCCCGAATGGCGGCGGGATCTCGATGACCAAAACGACGGTGCCATCTCCGTAACGTACAGTGAGTCCTGGCTATACGGGCGATCTCTTGTCCGGATAGAGCTCTAAACTTGAAAAGACCTTCTTCGCTCAGATCAGCCTCAACCATCACCTGCGACGATCCGTCATTCTTCTTGGTGGTCACCGTGGCCAGCTCGTTCTCAAAATGCACTGCCAAGTTTCCCTTAAGTGCACGCGTAACTGACATCAGATTTTCCAACAGCGTTGGCACGTAAAGGACGTCCTTCAATTGGATTCGTCTTACTTCGCCGGACATCAGACGATGACTAATTGTACCTCCTCCAATTCCAGTGATCTTGGCGTGATGACCGTCAGCATTCAATATCGTACTGTTCAATTTCTTGAAAGATGAGAAGAACTTGCGATTGTTCGTCATATGTTTCGTCGCTCCCGAGTCTAAACACCACACGTCATTTACGATTTTCGGTGTTCTAGTTCCAGCTCGTAATGATCCTTTGTTACAGATATTAACCAAATGAAAGGCAGAATCAGCTTTGTCTTTCTTTGGTACTCGACACTTAGCTGCTAAGTGTCCCCGTTTGCCGCAGTTATAACAGGTGCGCGTCTCCTGTTTCCGATTATCGCTTGACGTCTTTCGGTCGGTTTTATTTACCGTTTTGTTCGCTCGTCGATTGGGTTTGCTAACGGTTGCCGCTATCTCCGTCTCTGTCGTCTGCGCAGTCTCTTTACGATCCTGTCGGCGCTCGTACTCGGATTTCAATTTTTGTATCACATAGTCTGGCGTCAACATGTCAGGGGGACTTGATTCTAAACCTGAGATGAATGCTTCCCACGAATCTGGCATCGATCCGATAAGGTGACACACGAATTCTTCATCTCGAACTTCTCCACCAGCACGCTGAATACGAAAAACTAAGTCCTGCATGTGATCAATGTATTCTGCCATGGTTCCAGAAATCCATTTAGACTGTGCGAATTTTCTATGAAGATGATGCCTCGAACTCACGTTAACTGTCGAGTATATCCTCTCAAATGCGGTCCACATCTCATGAGCACTAGTAAGCCCAACGATATGTTTTAGCTGAGCGTCTTCGATTCCTAGGCCGATTAATGACATCGCCTGGCGATTGAGTGTAGTCCAGTTTGCAGTCACTTCCGTTGGCTTCGGTTTTTCCGTAGTCTCCCATAGATCTTCTTTGCACAGAAGAAAGAACATCTTCTGACGCCAATGATCGTAGTTATTAGAATTCAACAAGCGGAATCCGTACTTGGTGAAAGCACCGCGATCATTTAGGTTGCCTTCTGCCATTGTCCTCGGTCTCGTGACGATATTTCCGACGATTCTCGATTTCGTCGAGCTAACCTCGAAGTGTTCGTGCTTGCACGCGAAGGGGCGAAAAACGAACGAAACAGTTTTCACGCCCAAAGAGAGAGGAACAGTTCGATTACGCGTACATCGCGAAATATATAAAGTTCTCTCTTATTGCGTCACGCAACGGATTGCTACATGTATCTAACCTCGTGTACGACACTGGGCCCATAACCTGTTGGGCGTATTGTAATAAACAGAGTTGCGATTGAACAGGTATGTTTAATATGAGATCAAATACATATCGTCAGCAGTACCGAATAAAAAGATAGAACGGAAATAATACTTATATGAACGGAAAGAATATGCAATGCGACTTAGCGCGTCGTGATCGCGTGACGACATTCGGCTCGTGGAGACTACGACGGACTGCGCGTAGTAATACATTGGTACAGTGCTACAAAACCGCGAGGAGGCGCTTAAATCAGATATGCTCAACAATAACTTTTTCAATGTTTACCTTATAATCTCTCGATAACTGTTTGTCGGAGGGAAAAATAGTACAGGACTTTTTTTACTTGATTTAGTCTCAGGAATATGCTGTTGCAATGGTGTTTCAATCATTGAAAAATTTTGTGATACAATACACAAAAATTTTCAATAATTGAAACACCATTGCAACAGCATATTCTTGAGACTAAATCAAGTAAAAAAGTCCTGTACTACTTTTCCCTCCGACAAATAGTTATCGAGAGATTATAAGCTAAACATTGAAAGAGTTATAAATTTTCTCTTGAGTATCTCAAAAAGTATTAGGCAAATCAAAAAATGTTTCAGACAAAAGTTGTTCATATTAATTAGTAGAATAAGATAGTGTAATAAACAATAGGGAGTTCCATTTAAAAAAATGACGACCTCCATATAACCATAAAAAATTAATTTTTTTCGAAAATTTATTTTACCATTATATAGCCCTTTTAAAATCGTACAATTTTTGGATGAAAGATTTTTCCGTATCTTCCATATTTTTCGAGATATTTCACCGGTCCGGTACTTTTTCCTCATCCTGTATATTTTTCATATTATATCATGTTGGGTTATAAACAATTGTGGTTGTTAAAAACAATTTATTATTTTACGGCTGTATTAATTATATTAATGCAATATATGTATATTTTATTTAATTTTTTACTACTAATTTTAATATTACATATGTATCAATATATTTTTAACGTGTTAGTAATTTAATAATTAATGACACTTGTATTTATCATACTGGTGAAATCCTTTCACTTATTTCATTTTGATTATTAACACTATCATTGTTCATTAAATTTTTTTATTAAGCCCGCTGCAGACGACGCTATTTTTCCTGCTGGATTGCTCGCGATTTACTAAATTACTAGGAATCCTGAGTGCTGAGTGGTGCAACGATGTTAATTTATTAGATTGCAAACACTCCAGCAGGAAAAATAGCACCGTCTGTAGCGGGCTTTAAATATTTGTTTTATCAGAGAGATCATCAAGGTTAGAAAGAGAAACTCTGATGCATTACAGAGTACATGAAACAAGGATGGATTATAGCATACCAACTTTTTGACACTAAATATTTTATTTTTCACAGTTGGTAGCCCTGGGAATCTGTAGCCACAAAAGAGACGGAGAGCGCAGATATTTAGAGAGAGACACCGTCGAACTGAGCACACCATGTTATCCCTTCCACCATGGTTCCGAGAGAACTGGTTAGCCTTCTGACGATACGGTAAACTTGTAGCAACGTCGATCCGAATTTGTATTCCGAATAGTGAATACGTGGAATCAGTCGCCGTAATATTACATTTCACTACGATGCATTACGAAAAATACTTTAAAATATTTTGCAAAAGTGTTTAAACAAAGTGTACTAGAACAAAATAAGTGCAAAAACAACCAATAAGTAAAATATCATAAACAAGATATTAAAGTATTATATAACACGAAACGCTGGAGATACATTAAAACTATTAAGAAGAAAATGCAAAGTGATATTTTAAGAAACAAAAGATAAATAATAATTTTGTTATTGTTATGATAGTATAAGGATGTAAGTGAACATAACAAATTGAAACAGATAGTTGTACGTGTAAATAAAACGACGACCGTTCTCGTCAAAACCGGTTTTCCTATTGTGGAATAATCAAAGTGCGAAATGTATATGTGCTCCCAGACTGTAAAAAACCGATTCATGGGCAGGTGTCTATTATCTATTCAGAATAGGGCTATTGTTAAATGTTAAATTAATAAATGTTAAAAGTGATCGACTAAAGAAATTAGCGAAAGTGATATAAAAACATTTCTCTGTAACACATGCTTAAACAATTTTTTTCAGATTTGCTGGTTAATCACGGGTAAATATTTTAATGCATATTTGCGATTGGGTTCATATGCAATATCTCGCATTATTATTATATCCTAAACTATGTTTATTAATATGAAATATTGTCTGTTTCGTTTGAATCTCAATAAGGATCTTAGTAATAATATTCCAGGTGACTTATTGTTAGTATAAAAAGTTTATTTCTATTATAGTTGTATGTTTGGAGAGGTTATTAAACGTGTATTGTTTTTAAAAGTTCTTTTAAAGATTGGATTTCATTAAGCTGATCAACCCTTTGAGTGCAGATTATCCTAAACTATTGTAATTCTCGCTAATGTTCATTCCAACGGGAAAGTGAATGATGTTACAAAAACGAAATTATTTAATCTAATCTACTTGTGACGTATTAAACAGGTCACAGTTCATAGTTGAAGCGTTTCATCCTCCTTTGAAGAGTTTTCAGCAAATAAGTAATACAGTATTCAATAATAAGTGCGTTTAGTATTATAAGTTTTTAATTCAATTTTGTCCTATTTATCGAGAAAATAATTTTGCACTAAACATATGTATCGTTAATATAAATTGTTTATAATATTCTCAACTATCTTATCAAATTTATGTTGTTGACTAACAAAGAGAATAGATGTGCATATCTGGATCCGAGGTACTGGGACTAGAGTGTCCGTATCAATAGCGTACAAGATTTAATAATTTATTTATTGTTACGACGTTTCAAGAATTGCGAACACAACAGAATGTAGAATACTTCGTTTAACATTTTATGTAAACAAATACCGCCTTAACAAGAAATCGTCGTCCTCTCCACCATATGCATCTGTCATAATTCCGCAAGACACATTATAATAGTATATCATATATCGAGATCCTGTTCTCTAATCTAGTGTATTTTATTATACCAAAATTAATACTTGAACATATTTAAATACTAATTATGAATCTATCATATTACCACATTGTCACGGCAGATTTATAGTTTAAAATAATTTTTTTAAACAAACATATTAGTTCTTTGTTATTTATTATATAACGATTAATATGTTTCTTTTGTTGATGGTAAAAGTCGATAAATCTAATGTTGATAACACTGTGATTATGGAAATTATTTTGAAATCGTGTGAGATAGTAAAAAAATTCAGAACTAATTAAAAAGTTTGTTAAATAAAGATTGATAGACAGTATGAATTTTTATTATTTATAGAATTTCACAAGATGGCTAAGATTGGTATCTTATTTGCGTTTCTGTCGCACCTATTATGTACCATGGTACATGGAACAACTGTATGTTCGGAATACTTCACACTTGCAATCAACCCTGAGACAGGCAAGATATATGGTCGGATCGAAATCATTTCTCCGCCAGAAAATGACGACCTTTATTTAAAAGTAGCCTTAAACGCTGTCGCTGATTCTCTGGTAAGTATATGTTTTAAACTTTCAATATTATCAAGAATGCAGAAGGCGTTTGTATAACTTCGTTACCATTACTACAGGCAATTTTTAATACGTTTAGCACCCAGAAATAAAGTCTTTTTCAAAACAAAGTTCTTGTACTGAGGACCGTACAGTTACTTCACTGTAAATCGTGTATCGCGTAGTACCGCCAAATTCGAGGTACACGTTAAAATATAAAGTATATATAATTATGAGCCCACCAAAATAGGAGTGACGATATTTTTCGCGGTACATTAGCACGAGGTACATGATTATACGAGGTAATAATGAATATATGACGATCAGTTGGAGGTACCGTCTCGAGGTTACTGCTCGAGGTATTTATAAATTCGCGGTACATTTTTTAGGAGGTACAAATGGTTCCTGTACGTACCTCCTGAAGTAATACAAGGTACAATGTACCTCCAACCTAATCTGTCTCCATAGCAACGAGATATAGCTTTTGTTATTATTTTTCTTCATCGTGCCATACTTACGTAATCGCGTCGCTAAAGGCACGAAGTGCATAGTAAGTACATACATTAGGGACGCATTTTGTAGTGTTGATATTCGAGGCATTTTTCGTGGCCAGTGCCACGAATTAAATTGCGAATGCACTCTGTACATTCGCAAATTAAATAATGTGGATCCTTCCATTTTATGTTTATATTGTGGGCATTCACCAGCAAAACATGTTTCCGTGATCGGCAGTAATGTACCTCCAATTTACGTGTACCGCGTAAATAATGTATCTCCTCAAAATATAACTCCTAATTTCGAAGTACTATCTTCCCTCCTATTTTGGTGGACCTATGTGTACCTCATATTTACGTATACTTTTTATTTTGACGTGTACCTCCAATTTTTGGCGGTACACGTTTAAGAGTGTTTAATTAGTATTTTAAACAAATTAAAGTACTTTGAGCCTTAAAAGGAGTATGAAAACAATATACAAGTACATATACATAAGAAACTGTTTACACAAAATAATTTCTGTTCTGCATATTTTGAAATATGTCAAATAATTTTTTAATATATCTATACATTATTAAAGCTAAGTGAAAAATATAGTTTACCTGTGGTTTTTGACACAGATAATCGAGGATTAATGTACAAGTTTTATTTGTAATTTTTGTCTGGTTTGTCATTTCTTAATTTTATTTCCTAATAAATAGAAATAAATAGATTACCTGTCGAAGGATTTACGTGTTACCACATCGCGGATGTTAGTTAAGGAGGCGAAATATTCAACTATATATTTTATTATTAAAGATTGTTATAACGTTAATTTATTTTCACATATAATTTAAACTCGAAAGTAATTTTACGCCTTGTAATTGCATTGTACTCTCAACGCTTACCTTTAACTGTTACACGTCAAAATAAAAATAATACTGGTTAATTTCATTGTTAAGAGAACTTATCGTTAGTCATTTGTCCATTTATTAGAAGTAGCTTAGTTATCTTTGCGTTCTAGGATGAGTTATTTCAATTGGAATTGGCACGACCGATAAAAGACACCATTCAAGCTGTTCAACTTGGCAGATCTTTGGTGTATCATATTAATTTTCCCTCGGGTGCAAAAGTGCCGACATTATCCGCGATATGGTTTAACAATCGGCAATATTGTATCGGCCCCGGAGGTGAGTACCGTATTTAATTATTATAAAATGCAGCACAAATATTACATACCTACCTATAATCGAGGAAAAAGAAGCGATTAATACAGTCGTTAATTCTTTCGGGTTAAATGAAGTTAATTCTTACTCGCATCTGCCTACATGGAAGTTTTAACCTACCTACTATCGTAGGAGATAAATAGTGAAACTGTCATTAAAATGATCACTATTTCGTTTTTATTGTGCATACCACTTTCCATCTTTAGGTACAAAGAATTTTACTATTATTTATTTTGGTTGGAAATTATTTATATTATCAAAAGAAAAGAAAACTCTTTTCGTATTCTGAGTTAATGTGCGATTTAAGAGATATATTTCGTTGCATCACAGCGTCAAGTGGAACCATCGTAGCCAATATCGAATTGGGGCATATTGTGTACCTTCCGAACGAAGAACCACTGTCTCAGGATTTTCAGCCGTGGCATCGAAATTCGAGTAATTACCGCATAGACAATCCGTACTACAATAACAACGCCGAATGCGGTGTTACCAGTTACTACACCGAGAGCACAAATAAACTGATCCCCGATGGTGAGACCTCATTACCAGGCCAGTGGCCTTGGGTAGTCGCAATCTACCTTATTGATAGAGATGGGCTTCAGAGATCATACTTGTTTCGATGTGGTGGGTCACTTTTAACGAACAGACATGTATTAACAGGTATGTTAATCGAGAAAAGTCCATCTTATTCTAGTAATATGAACAACTATTGTTCGAAACATTTTTTGATTTGCCTAATACTTTTTGAGACATTCAAGAGAAAATTTATAACTTTTTCAAGGTTTAGCTTATGATATCTCGGTAACTGTTTGTTGGAGGGAAATGTAGTACAGAATATTTTTACTTGATTTGGTCTCAGGAATATGCTGTTGCAATAGTGCTCCAATTATTGAAAGTTTTTGTGTGTGTAAAGTTTATGTATGTTACAATGAACAAAAATTTTCATAATTAAAAACATCTAAATTGGTTGACCATATCTGGCAATTTTAATGGTAAATTATCACGACGTTTCGACCATGGGTTTTGGTCCTTTTCAAGTGATCATATCTGTTACAATTTGAATTTTACAAATTAGTCACGTTTTCGTATTTGTGATAAGTTTACGGTTATATTACGGTTATGGACTACCGAAGATCCACAAGGCTGGATATCCTTTGCGCGTTATAGTTTCGACCTTAGGAAGTCCTATTTATAATGTCGCAAGTTTCATCCACGCAATACTAATTAAATCCTTACAGAAACCAACATCTCATATCAAAGTTGGTCGTTTGTAAGAGCCATCTCACAAAAGCCAATCAAAGATGACGATATATTAATCTCTTTAGACGTCACGGCATTGTTCACGAACATTCCAACAGAGTTATTGATCAAAGCAATTGGAAAAAGATGGAGCAATATCTCTAATAATACAATCTTCACTTTAGAGCAGTTCATACACGTCATCAAATTGATCTTAGAATCGACTAGTTTTCGCTTCTGTGGGAAATATTATGAACAAGTCTTCGGTAGCTCAATGGGATCTCCATTGTCTCCAATTCTTGCGGACATAGTGATGGATGATCTAGAGACACAGTGCTTGCAGTCTTTAAATTTTAATATTACGACTTTTTATAGATACGTTGACGATATTTTTACTATAGTACCGACATCCAAAATCAATGACATACTTTCGGTTTTCAACACATACCACCCTAGACTCAAGTTCACTCACGAGACGGAAATTAACGATTCAATTAATTTCCTCGACACAACAGTCCTAAGAAGCGATGGTGCGCTAATTACGAACTGGTACCGGAAACCCATATTTTCTGGACGATACGTAAACTTTTTCTCAAACCACACTCTAAAATACAAAACTAACACAATATCACACTTAATAGACCGAGCAATTATTCTGTCTGACAGCCGATTCCACCTTGACAACATTCAAACCGTAAAAAACATTTTATTAAATAATTGCTTTCCTACCAAATTAATTGACAAACATATAAAATCCAGACTCAAACAAATAAAATTTCAAATCAACGTTAACGACCAGCCAAAAATTTTCGATCCTCGTGGATATATACGATTCCCATATATCAAGGGTGTTAGTGACAGTGTCAACCATAAACTCCGGAAAGTCGGTATTAATACACTATTGACCATCCCAAAAAAACTTGACTCCATCATAAAGAAAGAAAAAGATACCTTGGCCAATGACCAAAAGGTAGAAGTAGTATATAAGATTGACTGCAAGAACTGTAACGCTTCATACATAGGACAGACCAAGCGACATTTAAAAACTCGTGTAAATGAACATTCAAAAGACATTATGAAACAAGTAAGCAACCACTCCGTGGTCAGCAAACACCGTACATCACATGGTCATGATTTCGATTGGTCTGCTCCTCATGTATTACACCAGGAGAGTAATACGAGAAGGAGAGAGATAGCTGAGATGGTTTTTATAAAAAGGACGAAAGATACAATTAACTTACAAACTGACACTGAAAATCTCAACGCTATTTATGACCGGATTATTGACATGATTTAATTTTTAGACATCATCATTTACTTATTTATTTATTTATTTATTTATTGACCTATTATGTGACTTTCACCTATTTTTACCGATACCCTCTACATATCGATTTAGTCATATTTTATCAGTGCGCAAGCTAATAGCGAATTCGGTCGCTTGCACTAATGTTGTACACTAGTGTACACTGAGTGCAAACTTTCCCAGTGCAACGTATTCGATCGATGTCTTCTGTTTCAGTGCATTGCACTCGTCGTATTAGGTTATATTGCACTATTACAGTACAAACCTTATGTCATGTTCGATGAGTGTTACACTAACCTAGTGTAGCACTGACTTTGTATTCGGATACGCAAAATAAACTGAAGGAGTGCAAAGTTTATTACACGGTCAATTTTTGCAGTGCAGTTACTATTAGCGCGGTAAAATTATGAATCCTAACCGCGGACTTTTATTTCTTATAGCGAATTCGGTTGCTTGCACTGGTGCGCACTGAGTGCGCACTAAGGCTTGTTTACAGTCAATTCTTATATTTCCGAAGCGTCTTAAATATTCTTGAAATATTTCGTAGCCAGTAAAATGATCTGTATAGCATCCATACGGATTGTTTTCTGGCTAAATCGCTTTGAACGTGCATTTAAGACAAAGTTAAGTATAAAAATTGACTGTAAACTGGCCTTGGTGTGCACTCGGTACGCACTAGTGCAAGCAACCGAATTCGCTATTAATGAAATTTTAGGTTAGCATCGATCGGACCTAGTGTTGCACTCGCACAAGACAAGTTTAGTGCAAAGCGAGTTCAGTGTGTAATTGCATCGAGTTGGTGTTGCACTGAGAAAGGTTAATACCGATCGGACCTAGTGCTGCGCTTGTACAGTTCAGTGCAAAACGAGTTCAGTGTCAGTGCAAATCGGCCGAATTCACTATAAGTTAACACTCGCTGATCATGTAAGTGTAGAAATTCATTTAAAAAGAAATCTCTGCAATTTCTCTCTCTCTTAACACTCTTAATTTTAGATCATAATGATTAACACGGTAGTGTCTCGCGCCAAGTGTAAGCGCAGCTAGTACCGCGCGCGCGGGACCGACCATGTAAGTTTACGCGAGTGGACGGGCCCTCAGAATTTTGGATCTCAAGAACGGCTGTTCCGACGAAGTTGGGACTGCGCTTAATCGATAGCTTGGGTACGATTTGCATAATAAAAGTATTTTTACTTTTCTCCTACGTGCCCCATGAGTAGAGATATTGCAATGCAAAGTCCAGGAGTCTGAATTTTCACGTAATTTTTATTAAGAAACATCGTCATCGTGGTCGTCGTCAACCAGGCCAAAATCCATCTCACTTTTCTGCCGCAACGTGGCATTGGCGTTGCTGTCGCGTATCTCACAGAGAGAATCAAGGGAGAGTGGAGCGGATAGTGTTCTCTACTCTGATTGGTTCCGCCATTTTCAGGTCACTTCCGCAAATATACACATGTATACAGGGTGAGGAAAAAGTACCGGACCGGTGAAATATCTCGACAAATATGGGAGATACGGAAAAATGTTTCAGACAAAAGTTGTACGGTCTTAAAAGGGCTATATAATGGCAAAATAAATTTTCGAAAAAAATACATTTTTTATGGTTATATAGAGGTCGCCGTTATTTTTTTAAATGGAACTCCCTATTGTTTATTATACTATCTTATTCTACTAATTAACACGAACAACTATTGTCTGAAACATTTTTTAATTTGCCTAATACTTTTTGAGATACTCAAGAGAAAATTTATAACTTTTTCAGTGTTTAGCTTATAATCTCTCGATAACTGTTTGTCGGAGGGAAAAGTAGTACAGGGCTTTTTTACTTGATTTATCTCAGGAATATGCTGTTGCAATGGTGTTTCAATTATTGAAAAATTTTGTGTTACAACACAATATTTCCGGATTTTAAACCATCCCAAGACAGCGAACTCCCCTGAGATCAGAGTCGATAATAGCAAAAAAAATTCTTTATTGTCCCCTATGTAAAGTCTGTGTCTGAACAATTTGCCAAAATTGCAAAGTTGGATTTAATATTTAATTTGTATTTATTAGATTAAAAGATATATTCATTTTTTAATTAATTAAAATTGTAATTGTAAATACAATTTAATATTGTAATTAGGTATATTTATTTATACGTTATTTATATTATGCACATTTATAAATTATACACTAAATAAATAATAATTGTATATAACAATTGTAATAACAATAATTGTATATAAATAAATACATTTCATACAATTATTACAGAATAAAAATTTTTGAAATCTTTTATTCTACAATTAATATTTAAAATTTGCCTATATCCATTTGTAACGTATCTAAAATATTTCTATTTATGTATATAACTATAACGTTTTCTCAGGCAACATATCAGAATGAGTATATATTTATTTTGATAATTTTTGCATAAGCTTTGAAATTTTTTATTTTTTTTAAATATAATATATTGGATGTAAAACATACCGGAAAAATACTTTTTTACAATATTTTTCGGATCTTAAGAGAAGTTAAGTTCTAAATAAGAAAATTAACAAGTAATTTTAAAAAGTACATATATGTACATATAAATAGATGTATATACAAAAGGAATTTTAAGTCTAAAGAGATTAAATATTCCGCTCATTTCTAAAAGATGACCTTAAAATGGCGGACTTCCGGTTAATCCGCTCCACTCTCCTTTGATTCTCTCTGAGGCGTTTTTTCGTTTCGCGACCACGGTAGCGTTTGGTTAGGAGTGTTTCGGGCTGTGACGTCACAAACAGAAACCACTAGTGAAAATGATATTCCACTACCACTGCGTATTTTCGTTATTCAACCACGACCAACCATGAAGAAGAATCAGAAGACGAAAGTATATAGCCTTAACCTTGGCGATACAACTATTTAAAGAGGAGACCTTTGATGATGAATTATTCACCATTGCATTTAATAAGTCGGGAGCAGCGTGTAATATTGTTTTGCTACTTAAAAAAAAGGATAGGCAGCAGCATTTCAGGTTAGGTCATTTGTGCGGTGAAGAATGGATCCAGCATTACTTAGATTTTGATTTTCACCGGCTGTTTCGGTAAGAATCACAAAAAATTCTATGCGGTACTCTTTACAACATATCGCACAGTTCAGTTTCGCATAGTTCAGTGTCATTGCACATGTAACAGATACAAGGTGAAATAATCAAGAATTAGAAAAACAAATTAAGTGAAATCAACTATATACTGATCGAGGTTTAGGGTTATGTTATCCATCATTTTATTTGCCGAATTCTAAACCCGCTCAAACACGCTACCGCAAACACGCAAACGACCTCCCGGGTTTGGTTGAATGTTTGGGTCCTACCAAGCTAACGCGGTAGCATCGGTGACGTCACGACCACAAACGAAAATGACCGGAGAAGCCTTCAATTGCACACAGTAC